GAGGACCTCTTTAGCACCCTCCACCAGCTCGAAAGACCCAGCCGACCGCTGGTGGTCGGGTGTTTCTTCAGCGACCTCCTTCCTGATGGCCGCAAGCTCCTTAGAGGCGACGATTGCCACAGCGTGATCGCAGCATTCGACCTCGCACTCATAGGCACGCTGAAATGAGGTGTCGACGGTGATGACCCCGCCTGAGCCTAGCATCTTCAGCTTCAGGTAGGTGTAGTTGGGGATGGCCATGAACTTCGTGTAGCATGGACGTCCTAGGATGGCGTGGTAGGTTCCATGGAACCCAACCACCTCGAAGGTGAGGGTCTCCGTCCTATAAATGGATGGATTCCCGAAGGTGACAAGCAGATCGATCTATCCGAGTGGCACGACCTGCTTTCTAGGCACGATGCTATGGAAAGGCACTCCGGTCGGTCGGATGTAGGATTGGCTGATGCCCATGCGTCGAGCGTCTCGGTGTACATGATGTTGAGGCCGCTGCCTCCGTCCATCAGTACTTTGGAGAGCCGCTTCGTGCCGATGATCAGGTCAACCACGAGCGAATACCTCCCTGGTTATGGGACGCTCTCTAGGTGGTCGGACCGATCAAAGGTTATGGTGGACTCTGACCACCGGAGGAAGGTAGGCGTGGCTGGCTCAGCCATATAGACCTCACGATGTGCGAGCTTCCGGCGACGCTTGGAGTCATAGGCCGCCGACCCTCCAAAGATCATGAGGTAGCCATCCGGCGTCGGAAAGCCACCGTCCGTCCCCTCGACGTCGTCTGTGGTTGGCTTGGGGTCCTTCCCATGCTCCCCCATGTTGAAGCCTCTGGACAAAAACTGCTTCATGAGGCCGTAGTCCTTGTATAGATGCTTGATGAGGAAGGAATGGTTTGGGCATGGCCCTTCAAGCAGCTTCTCGAAGTGGTCTGGAGTACCCTCCGCAGGCTTCCAACCCCCCTTGCGGTTGGTGGTGGCCATGAGCGAGCCCTCGCGCTACTGCTTGTTCTTCTTCTTAACGGGATGGTTGGAGGTGCCTTCGCCGGCGTCCTTGTCTCGCTTCACCTTGCCTTTTAGGCGGTCAAAGATCGCTCCGACCACCTCCTCGCCCAAGGAGTGGCTAGTGGTGATGTCGAGGAGTTCCTTGGTAGTTCGTGGGCCCTTATATCCTAGCTTATGAACCAAGAACTCGCAGGTGATCTCAGATAGGAAAGCTCCTATAACGTCGGCGTCGGCGATGTTAGGCAGCTCATTGCACTATCGAGAGAAGTGCCGGATGTACCCACGAAGGGTTTCTCTGGCCTTCTGTCGATAGTTCTTGAGATCCCATGGGTTTCCAGGGTGCTTGTACGTGTCCTGGAAGTTCCCCATGAAGATCTCTTTTAGGTTCGCCCAACTTTGGATTCTGTTGGGCGGAAGATGTTCAAACCACGTTCGCACCGAATTGGCCAGGAACAATGGAAAGTTGCGGATAATGAAATCGTCATTATCTGCTCCACCAGCTTGGTAGGCAAGCCGATAATCCTCGAGCCACAGTTTGGGGTTTGTTTCGCTAGAGTATTTTTAGGATGCTGGTTGGTGATCGGTACTTTGGTGGGAAGGCGGCGTTGAGAATGTGTCGACCGAAGGCCTGAGGCCTCGGTAGGCCGGGGCTTGAGCTTTGGTCCTCGCCACTATCATAGCATCTGCCGCGACGAGGGTGATAGCCACGGCTAGCTCCCTCTATCAGATCATCGCGGGTACATCTGCGGGCATCGAGGGTGTCGCGTGCGTCACGGTTGTGGCCAAAACGCTCATGCACTGGGACCGCGGTGCGCTGCCTGCCACCTTGTGGCGCTTGGTGGATTGACGCATCCTTGTCGGGTCACTCTGAGGGTGTGTGCTAGCTGGCGTCGAGCTCGCATCGCCGAGACAGCGAGCTCTCGGCCTGCTGCACCGCCGCACGCTCGAGCCACATGCAAATCTAGCGGTGGGCCCAATGATCCTGGGGCGTCATGGGCCCCAGAAGCCCACGGAGCAAGGCCGCCGCAGCAGCGATGTTCTGGCTTGCCCGAGCGAAGTGTGGGAGGGCTTTATCGTCCGCGATGATCCTCCGGTTCACGTCGTGGGCCATGGCGCATGCGCACCCACCGTCTCCGTGGCGCTTGATCTCCCGATTGAGCTCCGCATGTTTCTGCTCAAGCTGAAGTCGTGCTTCCTCGAGCTTTAGGTGCCGAGCCTTCAGCTGCTCCACCTGTAGGCAGGGTGGGGCCCCTGTCTCCCCCTCGACCTCATCGTTGAGGTCGTTCGTTGGGGTATCCTCTTTCTCGTGGATGCTTTTGACGTGTCCCTCGGGGGTACCCATTATGAAACACTCACGAGAGGGGTGATGGCTCCCCTTGCTGGAGTCAAAGCCGAAGGGTGACTTCGATTCTCCTGTGAGGAGGTCGTGGAAAAACTCCATGACATATTCGGTCATCCCTATGAACTCATCGTTCACGGGGGATGGAGGAGTGCATTACGCCGCAGGGTGGCCATTGGTCTCTACGGTGTTGCGGAGACCGAACGGGAGCGCTGTCGGGGCGCTCCAGATGAGGTATTCTGGAGAGAGCGGCTCCCCTCCACAAGCTACGCCAGGACATTGGTGAACGAGAAGGTGTGATGGCGCATGTCCTCCTGGGACAGCCGGGGTCCTAGGAAGGCACCGAGCTGGCGCTCTAACCTCCCGTAGTCGAAGTCGAGGAGCTGGTTGCTTCTGAGGGCATGGGCCTCCGGTGCGTGCAGCTGTAGCTCCTCAAGCGCCTCGGTGATTGCGTCGAGGCCGATGGAGTGGAGAGGTCGGGCGGCGACGGGAGCCATCGCCAACCCTCCCTTCACCGTGACGATGAAGTCTAGGTCCTCGAAACGCACGTGCGCGCCCGGGACCCAGCCGAGGTTGTGACTAGCCATCTAAGGCCTAGTGTGGACGTCGAGACACGCAAAAGGCCCCTACCTAGGGTGCCAACTATCGGTGTTTTGAGTTGCCACCGGCTAGTAAATTTCTAATATTGCACGTCTGGCCCGGATGGTGTGCTAAGAGGACACGAGGTTTATACTGGTTCGGGCAGAATGTCCCTACGTCTAGTTTGTTGTTGCTACTCGTGTTACTAGCACTGAAAGTTTATAGTAGGGGTTACAAACGGTCCAGAAAGGGACAGGTCCCAAGTCTCTGGTGAGAGGAGCGAACGGGCGCCGAGGGCTCGGTCGCTTCTCTGCTGTGTGCTTGTGTGTTCTAATCGGTTTAGGGTTCGAGTCCGAATCGGTGTGATGTGTTCCGATGCGATCGATTCGAGTCCGATGATCTCTTGTGGGACGCCCTGCTTTCCTTTTTATAGGCAAAAGGAAAGCATGGGTTACCATGGAGGAAGAGAAGAGAACGAGAGGAAGAAGTCCTTCAGGATCGTCGGGTCCTTCTCCTCCTCTATGCGGGTCCTGCTGACCTTGTAGACATCAATAGGGACAGCTTCTCGTCGCGGCCCTGTCCGTCACTGGCGCCATGTGCAGGCGTCGTCTGCCGGTCATGGCGCTCCACTCTGTCCTGGCGGACGTCGTGGTGAACTGACGCGCCCGTCAGTGTCCGTACGGGGGTTAGGTAGAACAGCACTAGTACGCCCGACGCTGTTCCTGACGTGAACCCCCAGGTATGGCCCGTCATGGGTCGCGGGCTACATCGAGGCGTGCCAGTCTCTTCTCGAGCGTTAGAGCTTTGACCCAGGCTCATACGCTTGGACATGGAGTGGTTGGCAGTGGTATGGGTATTCGTCGGGCGAGACAGAGCTCCTGGCCTCGAGGTCAGGCGAGGCGGAGTTCCTCCCTAGAGGCCGGGCGAGGCGGAGCCCGCGGCCTTGGTGTCGGGCGAGACGGAGCCCACCCCCAGAGGTCGGGCGAGGTAGACCCCACGGCCTCGGTGTCGGGCGAGGCGAAGCCCGCCCTCAGGGGTCGGGCGAGGCGAAGCCCGCGGCCTCGGTGTCGGGTGAGGCGGAGCCCGTGGCCCCGATGTCGGGCGAGGCGGAGCCAACCCTCAGGGGTCGGGCGAGGCGGAGTGCGCGCACCTGGGGATCGGTTGGTGCTGTAGTCACGCTCTTAACTGCTCGGACGAATCAACGTTGATGGTTATTAGCTCCTCTTCGGGTACCCTAGTATTGGTCCCCGACACTCATGGAGAGTACAACTTTCACATAAAAATATCTTTATTCGGCACCATACAAGAAAAATATAGCTTTTATAAGAAGACAAGCACTGTATGCAATTAACATGATGTAGAAAATTTATATTATCTTTTGAGCATCTTAATGACCTCACATGAAAAAACTAAAACTAAAATTTATAGATCTCTTCGAGAGCTATAATTTTCATATAAAATGTATCTTTACACGACGCTATACAAGAAAAATATGTTTTTTCTAAGGCGAGAAGCCCTGGTGCGGGATTAATATGTTGCTAAAACTTTATATTATCTTTTGGCATCTTAACGAGTTCAAATGAGAAAAAACTCAAAATATAAAGTTGTAGATCTCATCGAAAAATAAAAGTTTCATATAAAAATAGTCTCCATTGGTAGCTGTATGAAAAAGATAGGTTTTTCTAGAGCACTGTAGTCTGTTGTTTATAAGGGCATTTTAGTTTTTCCTTTTCTATTGGTCCACGAGGAGAGTTAACAGTGCTGGCTAACGAAATTGACGGAGATGTCAATCAAAAGAAAAAAAACGTAAAAGTCTAACACGCAACCGTGGCGCGATCGCCTCTCCCTCTTCCTCTCATGCGCGCCCGTTCTCGCACCGGAGAGGAAGAAGCCACCGCCTAGGGTTCCGGCAAGGAGGAGGTCGCCGGAGAGGGAGAAGAAGCCAACTCCGGAGAGGCAGCGCAGCCAGGCGGTGGGGAAGGAGGCCGAGCGTTTCGAAGCCCTGGCGACGGTCGACAGCGACTGGGCCAGGTCGTGGTGGGGGTGCCATGGCCGGAGCTCGGAGCTCGGCGTCGCCGGCAAGCGTGGCCATGGCGGAGCTCCGCGCGAGAGAGGGAAGGGGAAGAGGCGGCCGCCGCGGGCGCGCTAGGGTTCGCTAGACCCTAGTGTGCTGTGACGGGGCGGTGGTCGGTGGCAGGAGCAAGGATGAGGAGGAGCACGAGCTGCTCGACGGCGAGGTACGGGGCGGTGCGGTCGACGGTGGGAGAGGAGGCAGGGGCAGGAAGGAAGGGCACACGGCGCGAGGATGATGATGACCAAGGCCGGGGTCGCGCGCTCGCCTTCCGCGGGACGGGTCGCACATTAACGTTCCCAAAAGAAGCAACAAATAGGCAAAGATTTTAAGTCTGGATGTCAAATAAAAAACAGAGTGCAATTTTCTCCGCCATCAAAGAGGCGAGACACCCGCCTGAAATCCTGAACGGCTGAACCCCACGAACAGGCCAGCACGAGCCTTCCACTCCCGCACCCATAGACAGAGCCCGCGGCACCCGTTCATCACAAATCGGACGGCCTAGAATCCCTCAGGGTTAAAACCCTAAACTAGAAATGGACAGCCAGCCAGCCAGCCTTCCGAGCCCTATCCTTTTCCCCACCTCCCGGGTCTCCCGTATTCCTATCCTCTCCTCTCCCGACCCGCGCCGCCGCCGCCGCCGCCGCCGCCGCGGCTTCCCCTCCCCCGAGCCAAGGTGAGCTTCCTATCTCCAGTCCCGTATTGTGAGTAGCTTCCTTCTCGCATCGAATGGCGGTGTTTCGCGCGATTTAGTTTGGCCTAGGAGCTGCTGGATCTGCACGCTTGGTCCGGTTACGTACATGTGCGTTTGGACGATTTGAGTTGTAATCGGAGGCTACCCTTGGGCCGTTTTATTGTTTGATGTGTGGTCGGAGCTAGCAGGAAAGAACTGGGGCTTAGTAGATCCCATTTTTATTAGATTTGCGGTATTGTGCTCGGGGAGAAGATGTACCATGTTCCTGATTGATCACTTGATATGATGTTTAATAGCAGCAGCCGTGCTAGATTATGTAGTGTTGCACGATATAAGAAGTCATGGATTTAGTTTTCACACTCTGTGAGTGATACTGTGGTAGACTCGTAGCATTTTGTCATAGGTAGCTGCTTCATGGATAGTTCTAGTAAATGAATGGGCAGCAGTTAGCTCCAGAGAAGTTAGATTAAGTCCGATTTACTAGTGGCTCAGGAGATGTCTACTGCGTGGCTTACCTTATGTGCTGCCTCTGCCATGTTGTTTTTATTGCTGAAGTAGCCAGGGTGCATGCGCATTTTTATTGCTGAAATAGCCAGGGTGCATGCACATTTTTATTGCTGAAATAGCCAGGGACCAGGGTGCATGCCATTGGTTGTGTGAACTGGTTGCGGTTAGGAATTTTTCCATTGTCTTCGGTTACTTGTTTATGTCGTGCCTCAACGTTTATTTTGCCACTTTCTATTACTTCTTCCATGCACTTTTAGTCCATGTTATGGCATTCATTGTTTGATTGCACCTTTTCCTTTTCTATGTGCAAATACGTTTTCTTTGACATTGTAATTTTTGCTTTCTGTTACTTCTTCCGGACAACTGTACTACATATTGGTTTTGTCTGCTGCCTTTACTGAACAAATTGTGTACTGACTTTTTTGTGTTTCATGCAGATGAATGTTGAAAAGCTCAAGAAGATGGCAGGTGCTGTGCGCACTGGGGGGAAGGGTAGCATGCGCAGGTTCTTATTCTTCTACTGTATTTATTCAAGATGACGTGTCAACAGTTCTGCAGAGCTTTACTTTCTGTTTAGTGCTTTTGCTTTATGTTAGCACCAGTGTTCAAAAAGGTGCTACTAGGCGCTCGCCTACGCGTGCTTATGCGCTAGGCGGAGGGGCACTGCCTCGCCTAAGGGGGTAGGCGGAGGTTAGGCGGTGTGCCCCCAGATCCAGGGCTGCGCTGCCTGCGGGAGGGACGACCGGTGGCGGTGAGCGCACCAGGAGGCTAGCGGCGGCGCAGGCATTGCCAAGAGGCGGGCGGGCTGGGAACGCAGCCAGGAGGACGATGCACGACAGGCGGAGGAGAACGAAGACGAGACGCAGCAGGCAGCAGCAGCAGGACGGGGCAAGCCAGCATTGCCATGGGGAGGAGAACGAAGGGCGAGCGGAAGAGCTGCCGCTGTTGGAGGCAGGAGAACCATCGGAAGGATTTCGGGAGAGAAGCAGCAGGAGAGAAGAGAAGAAAGTGGACGAGCTGCGTCTGGCGGCTGGGATGGGAGAGAAGCATTTGCTCTTAGGGTTACACACAATATATATATGAATGTGTTGGTCCGGGCCTAACAGGCTCTTAGGGTTACATACTGCTAGTGGGCTTCTTTTAGCCTGCTTTGTCGGGGCCTAACAGGCCTTTCTCTTTAATAAAGTCCACTTATCTCTTATTTCCTTTTCTTTTTTAAACATATATATGTATGTAAATGCTAATGCCTAGAAAAACGCCTAGGCTCGCTTAGGCACGCCTAGGCTCTAGGCGGAGGGTCACCACCTAGAGAGCGCCTAACGCTTTTTATAACCTTGGTTAGCCCATGCATTTATGTTGCACTCACAACCTGTGCATATATTAACTTATATGGAGTAATTACTCTTTTGATTTAACAGGATCATTTTAGCCAACCTTTGTTTATTTATGTGTGCCTGTTTTTGTTTTTGTACTTGAACTTGCCTAAAATAATTTATTATTTATGGTACTGTCTGCAGACTTATGCAATTTTACCTGGTAATATGCTATGATCTGAAATGGTAGTCAAATGATGTTATATAGTTCAAATCATGTTCTACTCAAGAACTTGCTTTAAATTAGCGCATAATCATACTCGTGCTGGTGCTGTCGTATATATGGTACCAATGCTGTCATATGTATGGTACCGGTCTAGGAAAGCCCTGGATTCTGTACTTATAATTAGCTTTGATTGGTGGCAGGAAGAAGAAGGCAGTCCACAAGACTACAACCACAGATGACAAAAGGCTTCAGAGCACCCTGAAAAGAATAGGAGTGAACACCATTCCTGGTATTGAAGAGGTCAACATCTTTAAGGACGATGTTGTTATTCAGTTTGTGAATCCTAAAGGTAAGATACTCCAGTACTCAACAAGATTAGTACTTCACTTCTTTTCTAACAATGGTTTTTTGGTTCCCCTCCAGTGCAAGCTTCAATAGGTGCTAACACATGGGTGGTCAGTGGAACTCCACAGACGAAGAGTATGTTCTCATGACTTGCATTATCTGCTTAATTAGCTTCTGTTAAGACGCACTTAATTTCTTAATATGATTTATTCTGTTGTGTGTAATGATGTCCTATAGTCTTGTCACATTGGCAGCTGGTTCTTTGTGTTGCGCGTGCCTTTTGTCAAATTGAATTTTCAAGGAGAAAATAGTTGTAAACTTCTTTGAGCTAGATTTGCATAACAGTATTCTTATGTTAGTATTTTTCTTATTTGAACAGAGCTGCAAGATCTGCTTCCATCCATTATCAATCAGCTTGGTACGTTTCTCTTTACTCATGGATTTACTCATGGATACCTATTGAATTCAAAATCTATAACACTATAGATATGTTTCTTTTTGTTTCAAAATCTATATAGTACTTGAGAATTACTGAAATCATATATGTAGTTACGACTTGTGAGCTCCATAACTATGCTGTACGATAAATGATTTTGGTTTACCTCACTCCTATTCAGGTCCTGACAACTTGGACAACCTGCGGAGGCTTGCGGAGCAATTCCAGAAGCATGCCCTGGTGCTTCTGGTGCAGAGGCTGGTGCCAGCGCAGGTGCTGCTCAGGACGATGATGACGACGTTCCTGAGCTTGTCCCTGGAGAGACATTTGAGGAGGCCGTGGAAGAGAAAAAGGAGTCATCATAATTTTGCTACAGGCCTGCTGTTGTGAAGGGGTTATAAGTGAAGCGTCGCCATTAGAAGAGACCTGTCGAGAACTCCGACCTACCTTATTTGTGCCTGTGGTCCGGTTATGTCGTGAACGAGAATTTGGTAGGATGTGCTGGTGGGATTTTACATGAAGTACGCCTCTCTTTTTTCACCCATATATCCCTTGCTTTTGTGTGGTAAAAGTCTTGTTAATGGTAAAGGCCACACCTAAACCAAACCAAGGTACCATGATTCACGAGGATGAATACCAGATATCAGTTCTCACCTGCCATTAATTGCCTGGGCTGTAGAAAATGTATCATCATTTCATGCTCTCGTGTTTCATCTGTTATCCTTACCTGCTTGTCATGTTAGAACCTGCTTCAAGTAGCTGCTACTTGTTTACTGTGTTATTGTTGCTTAGCCTAAGACCTAATAAAAAAACAAATTGCAGAACCCGTAGGTAAACCACGAGATGAATTTATTAAGCCTAATTAATCTGTCATTAGCATATGTATTACTGTAGTATCATATTGTCAAATCATGGTCTAATTAGACTTAAAGATTCGTCTCGTAAAGTAGTTGTAATCTGTATAATTAGTTATTTTTTAATCTATATTTAATACTCTATGTATGTGTCAAACATTCGATGGGATATGATGTAAACTTTTGAGAAGGAACTAAACAAGACGTAAGCTCTTGTGCCTTATATTAACGTTGGAAAATTTGGGGATGGCGTTGTTGCATAGCCTAAGCTATTGTGCCTTGTTGTAGTGTTGGAAACTGTGGCGATAGAGTGGTCAGCAGCAGGAACAACTCATTGCCGTCGGGTCGTAAACGATCGTAAATTTTCAATCAGAACAGTATTTTTTTCTCACACCAAATCAGTCAGCAGTAATAATCTACGATTGTTTCAGCCCCAGCCGAACAGGCTGGTCTCCCTTGTCTTGTTGGGCCCCACGCCCAGGCCCACTCCCATTTTCAGGCCCGTTCCGGATGATCAATCCGGCGTCTTTCGTTGCTGACTTGCTGCCTTGGTGCCCGGCACGCCACGTTACCAGTGGCCTCCTCCCCTCCCGGGATCGTTCCGTTGCTGCGGGGATTTGGGGGGGAAACAGCAGGTCTGCCAGTCCGTAACGGTGCCATGAGGACTGGCGAACTGTGTCCAATCGTGGCTGGTGGCGGACGGATCTTGCCATCCAGTATTTGTCCATGCACCTACCGTTCCCAAGTGGCGACATGATGTGTTTAGTAGTAGTAGTAGGTTCTCTGCTCTCGATGTTCTGGTAACCAGTTCGGCGGCTTCACTGTTTAATAAGGTCGTGTGTGCCCTAAACCGGGTGTTAGGCGAGTTCCCTGCCCTGAGCGTAACATGGCGACAGGTACACGTGTGCTGATCAATTTCCTTTTACCTGGGCGCTAGCTACCTTCTCCGTCGTCTCCAAAAAAAATACTAATCCATTCTGGCTCATGGGCTCACGTTGCTCGCTGTGTGTCTGCGGCTTCATGGTCTCTGATACCACGCATGTGGTCGCCCATGTCTCGAGGACTCCGTCCCGTCCCTGCATATGCATGTAGACGATGTAATTTCTTAACGATTTTTTTATTCTTCGATTAATAACGATCGACCTTGTTGACGCCATCTCTATCCTTTCAATAAATTGCTGATCTCCGTTCAGAATCTACCGACGTACCAGAAAGGAGATGTCCAATGAGGTCTGCGTGGCCTCTGAAATCTCCCAATAAAATACACGGTTCGCGCAGTTGACGGTTCTCGCCATTTGGTTGCCGACTTGTCGTTGAAACCTGCAAAATGGGGGTGGTTTCGCCAATTGACGTGTTGATGCTGAAACCAAGTCCAGAAATTGAACCGTTCATCGGCTGATCGGCATGCGTATGCACGCCCGGCAGCGCCCGTGAGGCAGGCCAGGCGTATGCGATTTTCCCTTCCCTCTTGCAATTGAAATGGTCACGGCTGTCGAATTAGCGTCCAAGCCTCAACAATTGTGGCTTACAAGCGAGGACGGCTGTCACGGTTCTGTGACGGCTGGTGTATATTTTTAAGGTTTAGCTAGATACATGCCATTACGACTGTTAAGCTTTGGAGACCTACCATTAAATTTTACCTCTTTTATAAACATGCCGTTATTAATTCACCATCTATCTGCATTTTATCTCTTTCTGAGATTTAAACACTATATATCATTGGTATTATTGGACCAATTTTTAAGCTACCATATTCTCCTCTTCGGTAGCTTTCTCCTTCTCTTCTGGATAGGGGATGGCTACCTGGCCGCAGCGGGCATGACATCCTCTGCGGATCGTGGGTCAGAGCTTTTAAAAGAGATTGTTTGGGGGAATGAGTGATATGACAATTCTGACGAGTGGGTCCATGACAGGGTGGAGATAGATTGGAGCAACAAGGGCATTTTTGTCCATATGAAATGAAAATATGTTAATTCAATAGTGAGTTAAACCGAGTCAAACTACATCCTACATGTATAGAGTGGTAGATCTCAGATAGACGAAAAGTTTTCATGATATTAATCTAAATAGATGAATAATAATGTTTTTTTCTCAATGGTAAAATTTATATCGATATGAATACAATTAACTCATTTTTAAAACTCACTGATCACTGATCAGTATGAGGTCAAACACATGAGCATGTGACGAAGCAGGAAGCCGAGGCAGCACAATGTTCAATAAATATACATAAGTCCATTGAATTGGTATGTATGTGATACACGAGTTAGGTCAGCAGGGCTCACAGTCACTTGATGCAGAATTGCCAATTCTTCACACTAGTCTCGCAACTCGAAGGGAAAGAAAAGGAAGAAATGATCGAGCTACTTGTTGTTCATAGCTACGGTAATTACCGATATACTCCTCTGTTCCAAAATAGAAGCCGTTACGGGATACGTGTAGATCAAATTTTCTCAAATTTGACTAGGTTTGTAAAAAATACGTGCAACATTTATATCTTCAAATAAGTTTATTATGAAAGTATATTCAAGGATCTATCTAATGATACTAATTATGTATTATAAATATACGTATTTTTTATATATTTAGTCAAAGTTAGAAGTGTTTGACTTATTTTGAGACGAAGGATTATTTTTTTTGGCAAGAATATCTTCTCTTTTTCTTTGATAAGATGGCAAGAATATCTTCACCGATGATTGACCGCGCGCCGTGCGCGCGCGCACTTGAAGGAGTCAGCACCGTTTCGACGGGGGACCAAATGGCACAAGAAACTGGATATGGTCCAGGTCCAGCAAGCCACGATGATGTGCTCCCTGACGAAGTTGGCGCGTTTGTTTATCTTTTCTGCAATCGCACAAATTTGTTTATCCTTATATCCCTATGATCAGCCTGTTTGCTTGTTTGGTTTCAGTCAGGATTTATCAGACAGTCAACAGTGTTTTTCTCTCACACCAAACCAGCACCAGACAGACTTATCAGACAAAAATCAACCAGCGAACAGACTGGACGTCGGAAGAGTCGATGCTTCAGGCCTTGCTTGGCACTTGTCCGGCGAACCCGATGCAGGGCAGATTGCGTAAGAGATCGTCCCGTAAAGCGCACCTCGCTGCGTAGCGTGAAAACGACTAGGATCCACGTTCGCACGCCGGGCTTTCTTTCGCCCGCCAGGGAAATTCTGGGGGAAGCTGCTTGAATTTTGACAATTTCGATGCCATACAAAAATATCCCATCACCTCGGCGGACCTATCTATCTCTGGCCGCCTGGCCGGTATTGCTACACTGCCGCTACGCGCCGGCCGTTTCTCAGGGATGGCGGAGCTGACACGTGCAAGCCAGCCGTGGCTCGAGAGTCGAGCGGCCTCGGGACGGCCCGGTCCAGCGCGAACGTCAGAAGCTCGGACCATACTGGCACGGCGCCGCACGGCAAAGAAGCCTCCATCTCCATCTGTAACTCCAAGATTTGCCAGTACCAGGCGCCAGCGTCTGACTTGAATGCACACAGCCAGAGTCCTGTACATACGCCCTCAAGCGTCACGTATAGACCCGTCACCGTAGTCAGTACTCAGTAGCTCCAATCCCCGCCGCGTACGGCGGCGGGCCAGACGGGCGAGACCGCAAGACCAAGAAGAACCCGCGCCGTGCCGGCGCCGCTCGAGGACTCCAGGCCGCCCCGATCGACCCCACGCGGCAGCGGCGCCAAACGCCCCCGGCCGGAAGGCCGGAAAACGAAAGAAACCAGCCGAGATCGCCGACCCGTCTCAGCCAGCCGCGGGACGCTCGGTTCGGCACTCGGTTTGGCGGTCGCCCGGAGCGTTGAACACTTCGCGGGAGCGCACGCCCGGCCGCTGGTTTTCTCGGCCCCGCACGTCAGCGCCCTGTGGCCCCGCGCACCGCGTCCACGCCCGGACCACGTCGTGGGGCGCGCATCCCGCGGCGGTTCTTAAACCCCCCTGCTGCGCCAGCGCTCCCTCGTCCCTCCCTCCTCGCCGCTGAGACCAAATCCCCACCAAATCCAGCTACCGCTGCCCTCCCGTTCCGTTCCGTCGCGTTCGGGTCCCTCTCCTCCCCCCTTCGTAAACCCAGACCACCCCGGGAGCCCCGCGCGCGGGCGACAAAGAGCGGCATGGGAGAAGAGACCCTCGTGGCCATGCCGCTCGCGCCCCACCACCACCACCACCACCACCAGGCCCGCCTCGACACGCCCCCCCACCACCTCGCCCCCACGCCGCCGCCGCCACCGTCGGGGCCAATTGCTGCTGATAAGGGGGAGGAAGAAGGGGATCATCATCGTCCCGCAGAGGGCGTCGCCGGCGAGCCGCCGGCGCAAGCCCCGCGGTCGGGGACCCCGCCCGGGCTCGCCGCCGAGGACGGGGACGTGTACTACGCGCGCAAGATGCTTCAGGGCGTGGTGCTGCGGCCGCCGCCGCACCTGCCGCAGCCAGAGGCGCCGCCGGGGCTGGCCAGGGCGCACTCCACGCCGGCGCCGCACGACTACGCGGCAGAGGAGAAGGAAGAGGAGGAGCAGCAGCAGAAGAG